TTCTTAATAACCCGTAGACTGCTGTTGATGCTTGATAACTTTATTGTTCCAACTAGTCCAAACACTGTCAGGGTTGTCAACGGTGTTATACCCAGGGGTTATATCACTCATCAAAGTCATCACTCACCTTCAGCCGATGATAACATAAGCAGATATTTTCGTCGTCCACCGAAAGAGTTGCATATATTTGGATCAATGTCTTAATATTAAAAAAATTCTTTGGTGAAAGTAAAAAGGAATCTTAAGGTTTAGGAACGGACCAAATATTAGTAAAATATCCACCAGAAATCCCAGAAGGTGGCAGCAAAGACGGGATTTTAATCTTAAGAAATCATTAAGGGATTAAGGCAACTTCTACGGGTTAATTTTTTTCGGATAAAAGTTAGCGTTTGGGAGGCGCGCAGGGCTTAGGTGTCGCCACTCAGACAAAAGCCTTCTGGAGAATTTAAGGCTTAGACTTGGAGGCCGTATTGGTGGGATTCACAGCTTGGATGAGGATGATTACCCTCACCGCTTGGATGAGGATGATTGCTCTCACCGCTTGGATGAGGATGATTACCCAGATCGAGGGATTATTCATATATTTCCATGAGGAAGTGAAGCCAAGGTGATCTGGTGTCATCTTCCGATGATGATGCCGTAGAGTAGATCAAAACACAAGGGGTAAAATAACAATTAGAGAGGTTGGCAAGAGAATAAAACTGGTAAAATTGGTAATTGTCAATTGTAAACAAACAATTTAGCCAAAGCCAGAAAACAGCATCTTGTTACATGTCAAGTTCATCGTACTAACGGCAATGTTACATTCAGTGTTATAGACACTGTATATATATACATGTTTGTATACTGTATATGATATGAACGTTCACACACATGTAGATATCCATTTCTTACAGTGTGGGATTAAGTTCAATCGCAGAGAGAGAAGTGCGGACATGACTCAGCCAAGTTCATCTGCTGAATGCACGTGGTCCTCAGTAGAGAACTTGGCACCAGTGTTTCTTACAATGACACCTGCATAAACACTAACCATCTTTGTTTACACTTAGTGCAAATAAACTTACTATTTACGGAATAGCTTGTGTTTATATAACACAAAATTACTTGCCTGATTTATATGTTTTAACGCAATGTAACTACAAATTTTTTGGTATCTTTTAAATTTGTTTAATTTTGTCCTGAGGGGTGAGTTCTGGGCAGTGTCACTCATCCTGTGAGTGGACACACCGCCATAGTGACAGTATTGCCAGCGCCACTCATCCTGTGAGTGGAGACACCGCCATAGTGACAGTATTGGCAGCGCCACTCATCCTGTGAGTGGACACACCGCCATAGTGACAGTATTGGCAGCGCCACTCATCCTGTGAGTGGAGACACCGCCATAGTGACAGTATTGGCAGCGCCACTCATCCTGTGAGTGGACACACCGCCATAGTGACAGTATTGGCAGCGCCACTCATCCTGTGAGTGGACACACCGCCATAGTGACAGTATTGGGCAGCGCCACTCGTCCTGTGAGTGAACACACCGCCATAGTGACAGTATTGGGCAGCGCCACTCGTCCTGTGAGTGTACACACCGCCATAGTGACAGTATTGGGCAGCGCCACTCGTCCTGTGAGTGAACACACCGCCATAGTGACAGTAATGGGCAGCGCCACTCGTCCTGTGAGTGAACACACCGCCATAGTGACAGTATTGGGCAGCGCCACTCGTCCTGTGAGTGAACACACCGCCATAGTGACAGTATTGGGCAGCGCCACTCATCCTGTGAGTGGACACACCGCCATAGTGACAGTATTCGGCAGCGCCACTCATCCTGTGAGTGGACACACCGCCATAGTGACAGTATTCGGCAGCGCCACTCGTCCTGTGAGTGAACACACTGCCATAGCAGCATGTACAACACTCCCCCAATAGGAAGAAGACCCGCTGGGTTGTTCATCCTGTCACTTGTACCCTGACACAGCTGGGACTTGCTTAACTGTCTCAAGTGAACAGTTTATCAAACAAGAAGATTAACATTTATCAACTCCTAAAATTTGTATCTAAGAGGAATTCTTGCTATTACTGATTCTCTCCCGCGGCCACCTCCTCTTCGTCCATAATGATTGAGATTGCCAGGTGCAACCACATTGTACCAGCGTACAGATTCCATAATCATTCTTACGTTGTTAGAATATGGCAGTAACGTTTAAAGAAAAGTTGAGCCAACGTTGTAGTAACGTTTAAATACCATTGTGGTAACGTTTACAAAACATTGTGAGTACTATAGGAATTACTGATGGTTTTACACTGTCTATATACTGACCTCAGTCGAATATACAGAACGTACTGCTGAGGGATAACCCTAGTTTGGCTGATCACGGAGCCACGACCTGTGTGAGGACCGAATAACACTCATTATGCTTACTTCACACTTACGAGTGTTGTATCGTGTATTTCGTTTAAGTTCTTAAGTTTCACCATACCTAAGTATATGGAATTTATCACTGTTAAAAGTTACATTATTTTTGTGCTGCCCAGTTGAAAACTTTATTTATATCGACTTGTAGTTTTCTGTGTCTTCTACGGAGGTCATTTTCATGCAGATTTATTTATCGTCTGCAAAGAATGACACGATGCTGTAACTTGTATTTCTGTCTGTACTTGATATGAGAACCTGAAAAAGCAGTGGGGCAAGTAGCGTGCCTTGGGGGCACACAGCTTCTCACTGTGTTCAGACTTGACTCTGTCTGTCACTCACTGCATTCTGTTTGATAAGGAATTTATAATCTAACGCCCCGCTATACCCGTTATTCCTATGGCCTTATTGTATGAGCTATCACTCCATGGTCACATTTATCATGTCTTTGCTTCTAATGCTTCCGTCCTTTTCTCATAGTGGTTGAGTAATTGTGAAGGACATAATCTCCTCCGTTGATCTTGGTTGATATGGTCACTGTTCTCAATAAAGCGACCATAAATGGTACAAGGAAACCCATAATCACCAGGGGCCAGATTCACGAAAGCACTTACGCAAACACTTACGAACCTGTACATCTTTTCTCAATCTTTGGCGGCTTTGTTTCCAAGTATTAAACAGTTAATGAGCTCCGAAGCACCAGGAGGCTGTTTATAACAATAACAACAGTTGAATGGAAAGTTTTCATACTTGTAAACTGTTTAATAAATGTAACCAAAGCCGTCAAAGATTGAGGAAAGATGTACACGTTCGTAAGTGCTTGCGTAAGTGCTTTCGTGAATCTGGCCCCAGGCACTACCCCTGGAAACACAAACCGAAACTGTTTCTATTTTCCGCTTGTTACAACTTGTAATAAAGTTGTTACATCTTGGCTTAACGTGTTTATGACGTATTAGAACGTTGTTACAACTTGCTATATTGGTTGTTATAACTGGTTAGGAGGTGTTAAAACTTGTTCCAACGTTGTACCAACGTCGTAGATTCGGTGTGTGTTTGGCGGGACCACACGGCCTGTAAACAGCACGCCTGCCTTCCTGATCACAGCCAATCATCATCTCTGTTACAAAACATCTGCACTAATTAATTTATAAAAAATGTACTGCTGGCAGGCATTTTTTTCTTTTATTTAAAATTGAACGCATATGGAAGAGATTATTATTCTCGATTCCAAAGTTTCAGCACTTGTAGTATGAGGTGAACTTTACAAGTGCGTCCCGCATGTCTTCCCTGGCGCCGCACACAGCCCCTGCAGGCGCACGCAGCCGCTCCTGGGAGTCATTAACCACCTGGCTGAGAATGGTGGTAGCCTACCGTGGGAAACCTGCACTGTGTGTGTGTGTGTGTGTGTGTGTGTGTGTGTGAGTGTGAGTGTGTGTGTGTGTGTGTGTGTGTGTGTGTGTGTGTGTGTGTGTGTGTGTGTGTGTGTGTGTGTGTGTGTGTGTGTGTGTGTGTGTGTGTGTGTGTGTGTGAGTGAGTGTGTGTGTGTGTGTGTGAGTGTGTGTGTGTCCCCTCTCTCTGCCACTAACCCCAGAGGGGACACGCAGAGTACCCGCCTGTGACATACCCGTCCATCTCCTTGCAGCGTATTAATTTAAAAGATACCTCGAGATAAAATGTAACCAATCATATCCTTTCTATCCACCAAGCCTTACACCGCAGTAGACCACGTCCAGTGTCATGGCTGTAATCATGTCTCTCTCACCCTCCCTACGTAACTCCTCAACCACCCGGAGACCGTGTAATGAGTAGTTTCCTTTTAAATATCTCAACAATGCACAAGTTTAAGTAATCACCTCCAACCTAGAGTTATGATTGGACACCTCTCTTCCTCCCTCCCTCCCCGCCTCCACTTGGGCTGGACGGTAGAGCGACGGTCTCGCTTCATGCAGGTCGGCGTTCAATCCCCCGACCGTCCAAGTGCTTGGGCACTATTCCTTCCTCCCCGTCCCATCCCAAATTCTTATCCTGATGCCTTCCCAGTGCTATATAGTCGTAATGGCGTGGTGCTTTCCCCTGACAATCCCCCCCCCCCCCCCCCCCCGATACCTTAGCCCCTTCCCTTTAAACACGTCCCTTTATTGGTTATTTTAACCTCCCAAATACTCGGGATGTCAAAGAGTAACAACGAGGCCAGGCAGGCTGCCAAGTAAGGGGCCAGGCAAGGTGCCAAAGTGGCATCCCAATTTTAAATAAAGCTATGTAAATTTTGTCTGAAAATGTTGTTTATATTAAAAAAAATAGAGAAAATCCGAGTGTTTACATTGCGAGATAATTAAACAGAATTGTATATATATTGCTAAATATTTTATTATAAAATAGCAAAATTAATTTTAATATCTTTACCTTTTTTTCTACATGTTAATTGGTGTTGACAAAAGCAATACTTATTTTAGGCCATGAAATGCCCAGTGGTTCATATAATGTCCAGGTCATTATTTATATTATTGTAAATATTGAGAGCACCAGACCTCTCTGCCATACAAGTTTCAGTCTACACAGATATGATGTAATCATTATATCATTGTTCTCGGCCTCAGTGTAAATATGATGTCATTATATGGCAGCGGCACACAGACGCCATGACCTTCCTCACTCCTGTCAATAAAGATGTTAATAATAATAACTCCTCAGACAAATACAATGAGGGTAGGAACAGGGGTTGTTCTTGCATCAGAAAAGGACAAAGACCTGAACATAACTTCAAGTTTATTATCAGACACACAAATTTGTATAATAACGTTAATGATATGACAAGTTGACCGACGGGCGTAGGAACTTGTATCCTTAAGAGCCCTATATAAAGCTTATGAGACCGTCAATAAGTGGAATGGATTACGCTAAGAAATGGTTTGCTTTTGGTTGGTTACCATCCTCAAGCTAACTTAATAGGCAAAGTTTTAAAAATAACTATGATAAGAAAAGCGAGGAACTAAGTCACTGCATTAAACTATGTTCAGGAGGGGGGGGGGGGAGTGTTAGAAGCCGTTGCTCGACCCTGCAAGCACATCTAGGTGAGTGCTCACGCACGCACGCACGCACGCACGCACACACACACGCACGCACGCACACACACACTCACACATAAGGCTACTGAGCTTCGAGGAAAGGCTAAAGGAGCTGAACCTCACATCCCTGGAAAACAGAAGAGTAAGGGGAGACATGATAACTACCTACAAAATTCTCAGGGGAATTGACTGGGTGGACAAAGACAAACTCTTTGGCACGGGTGGGACACGAACAAGGGGACACAGGTGGAAATTTAGTACCCAAATGAGCCACAGGGGACATTAGAAAGAATTTTTCAGTGTCAGGGTAATTAACAAATGGAATGCATTAAGCAGTGATGTGGTGGAGGCTGACTCCATACACAGTTTCGAATGTAAATATGACAGAGTCCAGTAGGCTCAGGAATCTGTCCATCAGTTGATTGACTGTTGCGAGGCGGGACCAAAGAGGCAGAGCTCAACCCCCGCAAGCATAACTAGGTGAGTACACAGCGACTGGCCGTGCACCTACACCCACCTAACGGGCTCCAGACTTTACATGTATCATCCCACTATCTTCTCACCATCATTTTACCATTCGGAAACGTGCCTCCCAGCATCTGAACCGTAATCTTTCTCAAACATCTGCGCATCATATATCCAGGGCACAAAATGGATATTTTTGGAGGAGGAGGAAGCAAGGCATGGACAAGCGACCCGGCTGGTGAGTGACAGTATTGCCGACGACGGGCTCCAAAACCACAAGAAATAGGAGAGAAGAGGAGAGAAGAGAGGAGCATGAAGAAGAGAGTGAATGAGTACAGTTTGAGTAACTTTAGGCGGCCCTGACAGATTAAGTGTTCCACTGATCCAATGCAAGCAGTAAAGCATCTCTTTATATGTTCCAGATCTGCAAATTTGCTTTCCACGAGAGGGCAATGTTCTCGTTATGCATCCTGTGATTTCCCTGGCTGCACTCTTGACACGAAGCAAAAGCGCATGCGCGTGCCAGCAGAGACAGTCGCTGTCATACAGTGAACTGACAGAAGACAGCCAACCCTTGTGTTCCCAAGCACTGCTTTTATAGGCAATATAGTTAAACAGTTATAAGTACCAAGAGACCGTGTGGTTGTGGTCATGTATCAACAAGCGACGTGTATCACACATGTCTGGTTAAGACCTATTAAGTATATAATAGTATAACGAGTGTATGGAAAGTAAGACACGATATGCAGCCACTTGGGAGAGCTTAAGAGTGAAGACTAGATAGAGTGGACGCGGGCGCCGGGTCCACGAAGACCTTAAATCCCACCAATGGCTGTCGCAATTAAGATGACCTACGGGTTCTCTCTCTCCCTCGCTCTCTGGAATGATGTTTCTTTCCAGTTACACGCTTGTCGGTCCAAGGAACACCAGGACGCCCCACAAGCCATCATTATCCTCCTGTGTCAGGCAGCTGCGGCTCTGTGAACTCTTTCCTGGGAAGTCTAAGCTCGCCCGGTCTCTTCATGTGCCATTACGTATAAAAATCAGCCATCTAACTAGAAACGTACGAACCTAGGTGACCCATCAAGCCTATCACTACGATACACAGACGTGGATATTTGTAGAGTCCTTATGTTTGATAGGTTGCATTTGTAACGTTGGGTACCATACTGTACAAAACGCGACCTATTAGTTCAGAGGACGGGTTAGGTTGCTTCAGGTTGTTAGCAAGGTGACCTGACGGCACGACAAAGGATTAAACGAATCTGGCTAAGATGAGGTCTAATAAAGACCTTTTGTGCCCTCTGTAATGTTTTTGCGCTACCGCTCACAGGATGAGTATGGGGTGCACAATAAACTAGCCGCCTTCGGCGGCAACAATCAAATCAATGGGTACACCGCACATCCGCAAGCTATAGGTTAAGCTCCAAGCGATACATCTTTATGTTAAGTGTTGTGTATCAGACGATATGGGTCTCCACCTCTCGTGTGAGGTGCCGCGGCACACGAAGTCTGAGTAAGATCCTCTTGTGTGCTACAGGTTACAGTTACTTTTGTCTTGTTTCTTAGTTACCTATTGTATTATTTGAGGAATATTTCTGCTGTAACTCTTGGTGAAGAGCGAGGGTATGGATGGGGCCAGTATCTTAAATGTCTCCGCCACACTGGTTAACATCTCTGATTGTCACGGCCACTCTGTGGGTAAGTTTTACCTTTATTGTCTTACATAAATATCAACACCAAATATCTTACCTTAACCCTGGGGAAGGTTCCCTACTATAGATGGTATTACCCCTGTTCGCTCCAGAATTTGACCTGCACGGCTGGCGGGACAGCAGAGCCGTGGCTCATGCTCCGCAAATACAAATAGGTGAGTACAACTAGGTGAGCACTTCCAAATTCAAATTAAACTCACCGGTCCGAAGCTGATGTGGCTGTGCTCGGGGATGAGGGGGCGGGGGTTCAATCCGTGTACCAGCTGCTAGCAGGCACAGTTAGACGGAATCATCAGCCACAAATGACTTTAGAGTGAAATTTAATGGCGTTAGATATTGGAGTGAGAAGAGCTCGGCTGACGTTTTGCAGCATATGTGTCGCCTAGGACTCCAGGAGAGAGGAGAGCCGCCTAGGACTCCAGGAGAGAGGAGAGCCGCCTAGGACTCCAGGAGAGACAAGAGCCGCCTAGGACTCCAGGAGAGACAAGAGCCGCCTAGGACTCCAGGAGAGAGAAGGGCCGCCTAGGACTCCAGGAGAGACAAGAGCCGCCTAGGACTCCAGGAGAGACAAGAGCCGCCTAGGACTCCAGGAGAGAGAAGGGCCGCCTAGGACTCCAGGAGAGAGGAGAGCCGCCTAGGACTCCAGGAGAGACAAGAGCCGCCTAGGACTCCAGGAGAGAGAAGGGCCGCCTAGGACTCCAGGAGAGAGGAGAGCCGCCTAGGACTCCAGGAGAGAGAAGGGCCGCCTAGGACTCCAGGAGAGAGGAGAGCCGCCTAGGACTCCAGGAGAGAGAAGGGCCGCCTAGGACTCCAGGAGAGAGGAGAGCCGCCTAGGACTCCAGGAGAGAGGACTGCCGCCTAGGACTCCAGGAGTGAGGGGGAGAGCCATAAAGTTGTCCGATTTGATAAGTATATATGAAGGATATCTCAGATGACGCAGATGACTGAAGAAGACGAATGAAGGAAGCCCCACACATGTAAGGTGGGAGGCGATGACCGCACCATCACCACACACTAACTCACTATAACATAATCGTCGCCATTGGACTGGAAAAAATTTGGAACGTGTTCCTTGGTGGCATTATAAAATACATTGAAGTTCCAGGTATAAAAATCACGTAGATTGGCTGGATATTAACTTCTCTTGGGTCGCACAATTCCGTTCTCTGCTAAACTCACTGCTGGGTATCGGTGCTGGACGGCTTCCAGTGGTCGCAGGTCCAAACGTGAGCTCTGAGTGGTCCTAGACCATGGAGGAGATATTTGAGTGGCCCTAGATCGAGGAACGATATCTGAGTTACCCTAGAACAAGGAACGAGTATTGAATGACACTAGATCGGAGTCAGAGTTCTGAGTGGTCGCAATCAGAGGTGTCTGCTGAAACCAGCTCAACCCCACTTGGCCATTCCGTCCCATCAACTATCGATTTATCCCGCTTGGCGAGGATGTGTGAACGCCTCCATGTAGTGATCTGTGCCACTTGGAGCCTAAACAACTTTCGGATATCGACGAACGAAAGGTTCGGGAATCTGAACGATTTATTAATATTGGAACATTGGAAAATATACCAGTAGCTAGGTTATAGTTGTCATTAAAACCCGTGGGATTCGATAAGTGGGTATCTGTGTGTCTGTGTCTGTTTATGGGCGTCTGTGTCTGTCTGTGGGTGCCTGTGTCTGTGGGAGTCTGCCAGCCTGCCTGCTAAGTGAAGGTCCCTCACTACCACATAACCCTGATACTCCCTTAAATATATCGAGCGTATATCAGCAATTCTCAAGTATAACTTCCTGAAGCATGCATTCCTGTGTTATACTTAGCGGTGAAATATAACTGTGTATGCAATATAAGCTGATGTTAAATCTAGTCTTTCTAAGACTGAATTACCCCTTTAACAGGATCGCATCCAATTGCGACTTCCATCGGCTCCCATGATGTCTGAAATGGGGGTTTGGTTTTCTATAGCGTTTGTTAATAGTTTTCAGCTGTTCATCATTGCACAACGCAACCACAGTGCTGTTTCAACATGGTGGGGAGAGAGAGAGAGAGAGAGAGAGAGAGAGAGAGAGAGAGAGAGAGAGAGAGAGAGAGAGAGAGAGAGAGAGAGAGAGAGAGAGGCGCACCTTCCGCCCTCCACTTTACCTAGGGTGGAGCACACACCACAAACCCAAGGGACCTGAACGAGTGTGTAGAGGGTTTTGTGCAGTCTTTTCCAGTCCTTATTTTCTCCCACGCTGTCTTGTTTTTATTTGTCTCCCAAATAATTACCATTGTTTTATAGAAGTGTCTGTCATCCTTCTCTCTCTCTCTGTCTCTCTCTCTCTCTCTCTCTCTTCTCTCTCTCTCTCTCTCTCTCTCTCTCTCTCTCTCTCTCTCTCTCTCTCTCTCTCTCTCTCTCTCTCTCATGTTCAACAAGGCAAGAGTGACGGCACAGAGTCACATGTGTGCTTATAAGACCAATGTA